GGGACTCGGCCTCAGGCTGGACAGAGAAGTGGTGCCTTGATGCACACCCGGGATCCGAACCCGGGCCGCCAGCATCGCAGCGCGCGCACTTAACCACCAAGCCACAGGGCCGGCCCAGCCAGAAATAGTTTTAATTGAACGTTTAAAAAGATTACCTCATTTAGGCACCAGAGTGCTTGTATTATTAATAAGTCTCCTGTGCAGATAAGCAAAGGGAGCGTGGACTGTTCCGGGTTGCCTTAGTGGGTCATGAACTTGTCTGTTAAGACAGTACGGGTGGACTAATCACACTTCCTCGTTGTGGCCTTAGTACACTGAGTAGCTTCCAAACCCTGGATACAGCAACTCCAGGAACATAACTGGGTTTGTGACTCATCTGACTTCCACCGATGAGTTCATCCTTGTCTCTCTGGAAGGAAAGGTACAGGCCACTGTTGAATTTGTCAAATCCTCAGCATCTGCTAATATGATACATAGATGTTCACACACTTCTATCCTTTGCTTTGTCTTCTGATGATACAATGCAACATGCGACATAGGTCAGAATGTGTTCTAAAAAATTATCATATGCTAAGATGATCAATTCCCAGCTAATGGCCCATTTATTTCAATAGAAAAATGTTGAACCCTCCTTTAGAGTTTGTGTTAAGATATTTAACTTAAGGGCCAATTAAACAGAATACAGAAGATCTCAGGGACTATGCACTGAAACAGGTGAACACAGAGTAAAGAGACTAGATTGCTAGAGAAATCCTAGTTTTGGTACTAATTCTCTGTGTGGCCTCATCTTTGGGTTTGCCCCAAGAAGGGCAGTTTCTTTCACTTGACCCCCACAAACAGTTGCTTTGGAACCCATAAAGAGTATGCTCATGGGTTGCTCCTTGGGAAAGAACTGGAGGGCGGATAAATGAATTAACCTGCCATGCCATGCGGAGCATAGGCCTCGTAAATTCTCCTCCCTCTGCAAGCTAAGCGATGTCTTCCTGCCCATGCCACCTCTCCAGAACCTTTTGGTTGGGAAGACGACTGTTCCTCTCCTAGGGAATAGACTGATTGAGAACTTCGCTCAGGTCCCTATACTCCACCTGTTTGGTTGCACACTTGCTTTTCAATGACCAGATGCCAAAACACACGCTGGACCGTAGCCGAGATCTTTAATAGAAACGAAGTGAGGGGGGCGCCTCCGCACCCACCCACCCCGGGACTGGCGGCCGGTAAAGAGCAACAGTGACGGCGCCGGGCCGCAGCCCGGTGAGGACGCCGTCCAGTGAGGACGCCGGTGAGGGCGGGGGGGACGCAGTCCGGTGAGGACGCCGGTGAGGGCCGCGGGGACGCCGTCCAGTGAGGACGCCGGTGAGGGCGGCGGGGACGCAGGCCGGTGAGGACGCCGGTGAGGGCGGCGGGGCGCAGTCCGCCGCTCGGGCCCGGCGCCGCCCCGCTCCTAGCGCGGGAAGTTCTTGGGGTACAGCTGGAAGAGTTTGCCCTCCTGGGTGGGCTCGAAACCGTACTTGTCCAGGCGCTCGGGATCGAAGGTGCCGTCCCGGAAGTCCCTCTCGATGGCAGGAGCCGCCGCGTCCCGGAAGAGCTGCTCGGCCGTCAGGGGCGCGTCCGCGCCGGCCGGGGCGCGGTAGTTCACGTAGGGCTTGAGCCGGAAGCCGGCCAGGTCGGGCACCACCAGCTCCGGGACCATCTCCCGGACCTGCACGAACTTCCCGCCGCGGCCGTGGACGCCGGTGCCCTTGGCACCGCGGCCCTTGCAGAAGGTGCGCGGGCCCCGCTTGCTGGTCCACCTGCTCATCCGGTCGGCGCCCCGCACCAGGCAGCGGGCCACCCCGCTCAGCAGGCCCATGCCGGCGCCACACCACACGAATGCTCTCCGAGCCCTGCCACACGGGCCCGGCTGCAGCCCCCTAGAACCTGTGCGGACCGAGGCTCCGCCTCCGGGGCCCACGATGGCTTCCGGGGCCCACGACGGCTTCCGGCGCCCACGCCTCCGCGCTGCGGCGAGAGCAGCTCCGATTGGCTACGCCGCGCCCAATGCGCAGCCTCGGCAAGCGATGGGACAGGACCGGTGGGGACTCGGCCAATGCACGAGGAGACCCGGCGACGGAGAGGGCAGTCGTCGGGGCGGGGCGTCGGGAGCGCGGACGTCGGAGGCGGGGCGTCGGGTGCAGGGCGACGGGGCGGAGCGAGCGGAGCGCTGGCGCCGGGAGCGCAGTCGTCGGGAGCGCGGACGTCGGAGGCGGGGCGTCGGGAGCGCAGTCGTCGGGGGCGGGGCGTGGGGCGGAGCGAGCGGAGCGCGGGAGTCGGGAGCGCGGGCTTGGCAGCGCGCGGTCCCGGTGAGTTGCTGTCGAACGCCCTGAGCTAGCCTGGGGTCCGGCCTATGGGAGGGCAGACAGGGCTCCCACAGGCCCGCCCGGCCCTGCCATGCGCGGTGAGCCCCCTGTGGGAGCGGGACCCTGTGGGAGCGCCCTCTCAGACCGCGGACGTCAAGCGCTGCCCCACACCCCACGCCCCTCCAAAACTCCGGAGCCCCAAACCCCACGCCCTCAACCACGGCCCCCAAAACTCCACGCCGCCCCAACCCCACGCCCCGCAAAACTCTGGGCCCCCGAAACCCCACGCCCCCCAAGTCCGCCGCTTCTCTAACCTCCACGCCCCCCCAACCCCACGCCCCCCGAAATCCCACGCCGGCAAACTCCGCCGCTCCTCTGACCCCTACGCCCCCGAAGTCGCTGCCTCCAGGTCTCCGGGCGGTGCTGTCCCAGCTGGGAAACGGAAGGCTCCGTCCCGCCGCAGGCCTGGGGGCGGGCAGGGGCCGGGCAGGGTACTGGGGGCGCCGAGCCGGGGTCCCGGGGCTGCAGCCCTGGAGGGTCTGAGAAGGAGGGTGCCCACGCGGGACGGCGCGGACGCGGACGCCGCGCCTGCCGTCGCCCGGCGTCTCTGGGTGGGAGCTTGGAGACAGAGAGCCTCCGTTGCTGCCGCTTTTCTCGGGGCCTGGGGCCGCAGGGGCGGGGGCCGCGCTCCTCCCGCGGGGCGGCGGTCCCCGCGCGGGCCGCTGGGGCCGCCGCCCAGCTCCCTCCCCGGCGGCAGCCCCTCCCGGCACCCGGAGCCGGCCGCCCGCCCGCGCCCTTGACCGCTGGCGGGGAGCGGAGCCGCACTTGGCCGCGGTCCCGGGTTCCCGCGCGGCCACACGGCGCTGTTTACAGCGAGCGAGGTGGCGCCGGGGCTTCCGACAGGGCGGCCTCTTCTGGAGAGCGCGGTGTCTCCGCAGGGTCTCCCCGCAGCCAGAGCTCGCTCGGGGAGAGGAGCCGAGGAAGGGCTGAGAGCGCTGCTCTGCCGCCCGAGCCGGGGCCGCGGGGTTTGAACCCTTCTCTCCTTCTCACCTTCGCTGTTTGGTTTCCAGCCATGGAGCGAGAGGACGCCGGCCCAGAGGTACGGAACAGGAGGAGCCCAAGGACGGATCAGAGCCTTAGAATTCCCCGCTGGGGCATTACTGGACCAGGGAAAGGGGGTTAGCGTCTGCTCTGCCGGCTCCTTTCAGCCCGGTGTGGGGTGGGCCTCAGGCCCCTCTGCCCCTGTCTCTGGGCCCTGCCCCTTCTCCCCGGAGTCGCAGCTGTCAGTTCCTGCTTCCCCTGAGGACTTCACCTGCTGCCTTGTCGTAGGGTGTTTTTCTCAGCGGACTGTCTGTAGTCAGGTTACAAAGGCCTTTACTCCTAAACCAGGACATTAGCTGCGTTAAAACAACGGCGAAAAACTGAAAGAGTCTGAGGTGCCCGCCTGTAGGAGACGGTGTAAATAGGTTAGGGGACGCCGTGGGACCCTTTCCCTGGGTGGGCCGGGCTGTCCTCCCAGTGGTGGTTGAGCTCCGAAGGACACATTCACACGAAGGGTGTGGTGGTGGGTGCTCTTCTGCTCTCTAACTGACAAGTTCTTGTGAGCTGAGCACAGTTTGGGCCAGAAGGGGTTGGGTGCCTCAGCTCTGAGGCCCCACCGAGCCCCCACTGCTTCCATTTGCCTCCTGAACCAAGTTTAAAAGATTGAGTTTTCCGGAGCACTTACTTATTCTGTCTTGATGCAACATTCTGAGATGCTTTCTCAGCGTCCTGCCCTTCGATTTCCTTGGGTGTTCTGGCATCAATGCTGTGTCTGGTCCTGGCTCTCTGAAGGATGGGGCAAGCTACTTCAGTCCTTGGCACTTATGTAGAAACTTGAAAGGATTGACAAGTGTCCCCTACCCCCACCCCATCCTGTTCCTGGCTACTTGGGAAGAGGTGTGTGATCCCAGGAGGAATGGCGAGTGGCTGCTTGTTTGGCTGGTTTTGCTCTTGTTTTCATTTTCATCTTGGGGAATCAGCCAGCATCCTCCATATGAGTGGCACCAGCCATCTGCCCATTCACCATCCTGCACTCACTTTTTTCTCTTTTCTCCCTCCCTTGGGTCTGGAATTCTGAAGCCCCTGTGAACTCATTCTCTGGGAGGCAGTAGGGGAGCAGGCATAGAGAGCCCTTCTCTGCTGTGAGCTGGTATTTAATGTCAGAATCCAGACGCCTCCTTGGGGTTTCTCAGCTCTGCTGGTGTGTGGGATTCCCTGTGCCCCGGGACCAGCAGCACGTGGTCCTGTTAGTGATCAGAGGGCACTGAGAGATGGCCTTTGTATCACTTGTGGCCAGCCGGGCTTGCTCCTCTGCACTTGCATCCTGAGGAACTGGACAGCCGAGGATTTAGGATTCAGATGTGTTAATGATGCCTAGAGCTTCATCAACACGGCACAGCTGCTGGCCCCTGCCCGCTGTCCCTGAGATACCTGTGGGAGACAGGTTGCTGTCCACGTGCTTCTGAGCAGATGGCCTCAGAGGACCTCAGCAACCCAGAAGATCGCTTCTTTTCTGGAGATCTCCAGGGCTGCTGACATCCTCCCTGACCGACAGCTCTATTCTTGCTGTCCTGGGAAGCCAGGGCCATGCCCATCCTGGCCCGGCCTGACTGCGGTGTTCTTCTCCAGGCTGGCTTCTGTCTGGATGCTACTCTGCGATCCTGGGGGCTGCAGCTGACGGAGCAGCCTTTGCAGTCCACCATGGTAACCACCTCAGGTGCTCCCAGGCGAGGGGTGGGTTGCAGGTTCTGTGACCTGTTTCACCCCTGGCTGCCCCCAGCCCTTTTGTGCCCAGGCTGTGGTCAGGGTCGGGAGGGGCTCTGCGGTGGCCTTACTGACAGGTGCTCTGTCTGTGACCTTGCCCAGCTGACGGGGATTGTGATTGGAGCCCTCCTGGCCCTGGCCCTCGTTGGCGTCACTGTCTTTTTTGTGTACAGAAGGGTTAGCCAATTCCGTGAGTATCTTGCTTCGGACTCCGGCTCTAGAGGGAGGAGGACGAGGACTCGGAAGGGTGGGGGGACGTTTGGATGGCCCGCGACATGTTTTGAGCTCCCCAGAGCAGCCCTCAAGCCCATGGTGGCCTTTGCTGGAAACTGCTGGCATGTCTAGGCTGAGGCTGAGCACGTTGGATCCACAGAATTTGAGTCTGTTCGGAGCTTTCTCAGTTCTGGTTTCCGAACCTGGCTGCAATGAGAAGAGATGCGATTCCTGCTTCCTGTGAGCTGCTCTGTCAGCCCTGGGACGAGAGGCTGTGTGCCTTTCCCACATGCTGTGTGACGTAGCAGGGGCAGGATGAATTCAGTGTGCGCACCACTCATCCCCCAGGCTGCCCTCCCAGAGCCCTCACACCTCGAGGTGCCCTGGCCGTGGCTCAGGCGGCCCCTCTGCTCCCCCCGCAGGACAAGTGCAGCCCACTCCTCAGTACAGGTTCCGGAAGAGAGACAAAGTGATGTTTTACGGCAGGAAGATCATGAGGAAGGTAACTGGTGCTGCAGGCCCTGGGGGACACAGGGCTCCCTTCCTACAGGCCCCTGTGGAATGGGACCCCTGGAAGCCCCTGGTGGGCGCTGCCCTCGTCCCAGAGGCCTTGCCTCCACCTGGCATAGGGAGCAGCTCCTTGCCTCGGGGCGCGGGGTGGAGCCGGGGTGAAGCACTCGAGACTGCTTTGGCAAGGGTGAGGAGATGGGGGCCTCATTGGCCCTGTGAGGTGGATGTTTGTCTTCACTAGAAAAGAGGACGAGAAACCTGGGGCACGTGGGCACAGAGGGTCCTGGCTCCGGTGCTGAGATGAGTGGTCCTGCCAGGATTTGGGGCCAGGTCCCCATGAGGTGGAGGCTGTGAGGCTGCCTTTTCAGTGTCGAGCACTCATCTTGGGAATAAGCAGCCTGGTGCAGCCCTTCCTGATTACCCCCAGCTCCCTTCCACCCCAAGATCAGGAAGGGCTGAACAGACCGCCCAGAGGCTTATGGTGCTTAAAATACAGGCTTAAAATAATTTCTGATGTTTTAAAGTAGCCTCTATTTGTTACTTTTCTCTGGTTACACGATTAATTCGTGTTCTTTGCAGAAAACTTGAGGTATCAGACGAGAAGGTATGTGGGTGTCCTTGCGTGGCTTTCTCGTCCTCGGCAGTGTCAGGCATCGTGGAAGGGAGGATGAGTTGACCTGCCGGCGGGCTGTGGTGCTGTGTAGAGCCTGGACACCGCTGCGGCCTGCTCTGTCTGGCAGGGCCCGGGCCCTGGCGTGTGGGGACAGCGTGCAGGGCCGCCTTGCAGCCTCATGCAGGGCCACACAGAGACCCCGAGCAGGTCTTGAAGGAGCCGGTGAATGGTCGGGTGGGGGGCCATCCACCCGTTGTCCCTCTGAGGACTGTACAGTGGCAAACTGAACCTGGGCTGAGGAGGACAGGAACGGGAACGGGTGCTGGGACCCCCAGGAGGGAAGGAGAGTCGTGGTGACCACACACCCACAACCACAGCTGACACCATGGGGCAGACGCATCTCGGGGAGCTGGGGGACAGTGAGGGGCAATGGCTGCCCGCGGGGGCCTGCCAGTATCCAGGGTAGGAATCAGGCGTTCTGCATACCTCACCACCACTGTTGGGGGTAATTGAGTTGGCCTCGACTGTGGGGAAGGGGCAAAGAGCTTCCAGACCTGGGATGATTGTGCAGGGACCTGGGGTGGAGAAAGGGAGGTGGGGAGGCGGGCAGAGCCGGACAGGGCAGGCTTTTAAAGGGCCGTGGGAAGGGGTTGCCATACCAGCATGACAGAGGAGATGCAGAGCAAAGTCAGCCTTCCAGGCAGAGGGGACACAGGCCTGAGGACTCGGAGCTCTGAGAGCACTGGCTGCTTGGGGACATGGTCATGTGGTGTGTCTCAACAGCACCAAGGATGGTTCTCCGTACCCTGGGCAGCCAGGTGTTAGGACTGGGCAGTCATTCCACAGGGTGCGTCCTGAGGGCTGGGACTGACCCCTGAGGTTGAAAACTGGATCCGGCCAGTTGCAGGGTCGTGACTTGGCCTCTCCTTTTCACTCTGCAGGTGACCACACTCCCCCACACGCTTGTGGGGAGCACAGCTGCCCCCCGGCAGCGGGTGAGAAAGAGGACCAAGGTGTTGTCTTTGGCCAAGAGGTATTGGGTGCCCCTCAGACCCCCTTGCATCCTGACTGCCCTCCCCGGTGCGCCCTGGCGAGCCTACTGGATGTTGCCACTGCCTGTGGCTTCCCCGCCTCGGGGTTCACAGCTCTCGTGCTGTCTGCTTTGAACCCCTTTGGGCTTCTGCTCCAGGTGTGTGGATTTCTGCTTTGTAGGATTCTGCGTTTCAAGAAGGAATACCCTACCCTGCAGCCAAAGGAACCCCCGCCCTCCCTGCTGGAGGCTGACCTCACGGAGTTTGACGTGAAGAATTCTCACCTGCCGTCAGAAGTGTTGTACATGCTGAAAAACGTTCGGTAAGAGAGAAGCCAGGCGCAGGAGGCCTGCTTGCTGGGGACCAGCTTCGGTCTGGTGTCTGAGGCTTACGTTTGCTGTGGTCGCTGATGGCTGCAAAGCTGCTCTCCTTCTGCTGCCTCTGCCCCTGGCAGGCAGCAGAACCTCCTTGCTGGTTCTTTCCTGTCGTGCTTCTTTGCTTGTCAGTGTTTTCATCTTCAGGAGGAGACTCGGAGCAGGTGTGGGAAGTGTGTAGCCAGACCAAAAGTTGCACATCTGGGTTCCCTGCCATCTCTCCTTGGAAACCCCTTTCCTCTTTCTAGCACCATTTCCCTGTCCAGGAAGGGCGCTTCTCTACCTGCCCTTGGTTATGCATCTGGTTCAAATTCACAGTCATGGCTTGAGAGTTCTTTGAGCTGATGGGAAAACAGCTTATGAGAATTCCCGAAGTTTCAGCTTCTGTCCTGACAGCGATTCCAGGCTGCTGGTGCCACGGGGCCTGCAGCCCTGTGAAAGCTCGCTCTGTGCATTTGGCCAGCGGTGGTGGTGGCCTGTGTCCCCGTCAGCCTCTTTCAAAAGCTGTCCCTCCTTTCCTCCTTCCTGGAGGGTGTCCCATGTGTGCTCTGGTTCTTGCAGGGTCCTGGGCCACTTCGAGAAGCCACTGTTCCTGGAACTTTGCAAACACATGGTCTTTGTGCAGCTGCTCGAAGGGGAGCATGTCTTCCGGCCAGGGGAGCCGGACACCAGCATCTACGTGGTGCAGGACGGGCGGCTGGAAGTCTGCATCCAGGATGCGGTAAGAGTGCCTGTCACGTGTGCAGGAGGCTGGGGTGCCGAGTGGAGTGGAGGGTGCGCATCTGTTGTGCTTTTACTTAGAGATTGCCATTGTAAAGTTTTTTAAAGCTTTCCACTGAAAAGTTAGTGCAAATTTTAAAATTTTAGTTCTTTGGGGAAAAAGGCACACTTTGATGCCCACACTGGAACACAGCTGCTCTTTTGACATTGGTGTGTTATCTTTCACACACGTGCCTGTCATTTAGTGGTTTCTGTGGCATTTAGTGGTTTTATTTCTGCATTTCACCTGATGCATTTTAAGCATTTTGAAATGTCTCGCCCACTCCTCAGAACACCTCTCAGTGGTTGGGTGTTGATCTGCCATGATCAATTGCACCCTTGCCTTATTTTCAGGTTTCAGATTATAAATAATTTAACTCAGATTATAAATAATTTATAAATAATTTATGATGATTTTATTTTTATTTCTTCCTTCTAAGTTTTTTTTTTTTGTGAGGAAGGTCAGCCCTGAGCTAACATCCGTACCAATCCTCTTTTTGCTGAGGAGAACTGGCCCTGGGCTAACATCTGTGTCAATCTTCCTCCACTTTATATGGACGCCGCCACAGCATGGCCTGACAAGCGGTGCCTCGGTGTGCACCCGGGATCTGAACCCGGGCCACCAGCACCGGAGCGCGTGCACTTAACCACTACGCCACGGGGCCGACCCCAATATAATAATTTTAATAAATAAATTTAAGTTCCTAATTCAGCTGAAGCTAAATACTTGCTTCCTGCCTCTGTTAAATTATACCCTTCAATCACAATTGCCAGAGGGTGACCTCCAAGCCAAACCTACTGAGGTCTTGCTGCTTTCCAGGAGGAACAAATGGATTCATTTGCCCGGACATTTGTGACCCAGGCTTCCCACCACTTGTTATTTTTTAAAGCAGACACTTAGCAAACCCCAGACGTACGAGGTCACCCCAGACTGTACGAAGTTCCCACCTGCCAGAGCCCTGGGGGTGGGCCCTGATCCGGGATGGTTCTTGCATGTCCTTCGGTTTCTAGACCCTGGTGTTGTCAGGGTAGAATTCTCACCTGTGTAGCTTCCGCTGTGTCTGGACTTGATGGGATCGTTAGAAAGGAAATGGCCTTCATCCAGTCTCCTGTAGTCGGGCCATCAAGGTCCAGGGCTGTGGTCATCCAGCTGATAGGCCTTCCCGAAAAGTGCTGGAGCCTTTGGGCCAGATGGAAGGGCTCATGGAGGGGGACCAGTACTGGTCTGAACAAGTTCAAAAGGCTTTTCCTGGGTCAAGCTGAGATGAAGTTCCTATGTTAAATCACCAGCGTTGCATGGTTTTCTTTCTCTTTTAATCTAGTGGGAAAATATATCAAAATGCTATTGTTTATACCGAAAATGTCTAAATTTGGCTCTCACAGCTCTTCTAGCTATGCCAGCAAACTCACTTAGGTTTTGTAAAATGCAGTCTAAATCTTACCAGTAAACACAAGTCATGGGGTTGAAAGGCCATGCCTGGGCTGGGCTGGGTTGCTTCATTCTGCTCATTTATCCTCATTTTTTCTGTCCTCTGGTTTGGAGCTTGTCACCCCTCTAATTCCCACAAGTTGCCTAGGGTGCGGCCTCTGCCCCTCGAGACAGGTGGCAGGGGAGGTTGGTTTACCCAGCTGGCCTGGGCTGGGCCAGGCCTCCCGCCAGTGGACCACTCTGCTCTGCTTCCCGAGCGCAGGACGGCACGGAGGTGGCGGTGAAAGAGGTTCTGGCCGGAGACAGTGTCCACAGTCTCCTCAGCATCCTGGACGTCATTACCGTGAGTCCCCCCATCTGCCCAGCTTCACCTGGACAGCAGGTCCCTCAGTGCCAAGGCCAGTTCTCCACAGTGAGGAGGGGCTGTTCTGGGACGGGAGGCACCCCTAGGAGGTCGGGGGTGTGCATGGGAGCAACTTGGACTATCTGTTTAAGAAGAGCTGGGCGTTTGCCTACAGGTTTTGACTGTCTCTTAAATGATCATTTTTTGGACTGGGTAATGCATGCATGTGGTCCAAGATTCAGAAGGTACGAAACGTTGTGTAGTGAAAACACGTCCTCCTCCTTCAGGCCCCGAGGCCCCTTCACAGGAGGAACCCTCTCTGGCTCTCCTGGGCTAATGTGTGTCTCTCTGTTGTTCCCAATCTTTGGCTGCTCATTGTTGCAGCGAATGGTCTTGTGTGGACATCATTTCATATGTTAGGAAACCAACCTTAGGACGCATCCTTAGGAGAGACTTGCTGGATCAAGGGGTGACACCAGTCGCGTGCAAGGTGCCTGTTTCCTCATCCCACCAACTAGCGAGCCGTCCACATTTGACCTTCACTAGTCCAGTCGGTTGAAAAATAGCATCTCATGTTATCTTGTGAGGCTTAAACTTTTTATTATGGAACATCTCAAACATATTCAAAAGTAGACAGAATAGTAAAATCAATTTGTGTGCCCATCACCAGCTGCAAAAAGTCTCAGCTCAGTGTGCCTCCTTCCCTCCCCATTAACTAGAATTTAATATTTGTTTAATTTTCTTTTTCTTCCGAGTAGAATCTATGTACAATAAAACAAATCTTAAGTATACATTAGCTGAGTTTTGATAAATGCATACACTTGTGTAACTCAAAAGGTGTATTTGATTTTAATCTTGTCCATTGAAGCTATCCCCTTTGTTTTCATTTTTGCTGTATATTGAGGTGACTTGTCCTCAGTTTCTCCAGACGTTGCACAGAAGGGTCTCCAGGGCAGTTAGCCAGAACCTTGGCAGGGTGCATCCACGCAGGGCCCAGAGTCCTGGTCCTTGTGTGACGCTCATGACGGTGGAGCTCTTGGCGGTTGTCTTCCAGTCCAGCGCTGAGTTCTCGTGCTCCAAACAGAGACTTTGGGGGTGTTCAGTGTGCTTACCCTGACCCGTCAGACCAGCACAGACCTGCTTTGAGCTGTTCTGAGGCCTGGAGTGGAGGCATGGACGGGACTTTGTCATCTTGCTGTGCCCCCGGGATCTAGTGTGTCTTCACAAGACACCAGACTGGGCTGAGAGAGGCACCACCTCCTCTGAGCAAGGCTGACCCCTCTTGAAAGGCTGGCACGCGGCCTGGAGGCAGCCTCTGCCTGGAGCGTTGTGCTGGGAGAGGGTACCAGGACATGCAGTTCAGGCCAGAGTGGGGTCTGGGCCACGGAGCCACTCTGCACAGCTCTGGGGGGCTCTGGCTGGTGTGCGTCTGAATTTGTAAGGTGCACTGGTGGGCCTGAGAAGGCCAGGAGGTCTAGACGGGCTGTCAGTGTACATGGAGGTAAATTAGGGAGTAGGTGGCTCTGCACCTCTCTCCACCTCGACTGGGTTTAAGCAAAAAATAGCTTCAGCGCAGACTTGGTTGGAGGCCTTCTCTGTTCTTTCTTGTTCTGTGGCTGATCCAGATCTCGTTGTGTCTTTTGGGTTGAACGCCGGTTCTTGCAGAGTCGTGTGCTGTGAGCAGGGCCAGGGTCACCCCTTCTCCCAGCCTGCTGCAGTTGGCTGGGCCTGATGTCGGTGGTTGGCCCTACCCCTCCTCCCTGGGGGCAGGGCTCCATCTCCCCTGCGGAGGTGGGAGAGGAGAATGAATGATGTTGGAGAGAAACGATTCTGTATTGTAACTAGTTTTTTTTTTTTTTTAACTCTTATCGTTTTTTTCTTTTTTTTGTGAGAAAAATCAGCCCTGAGCTAACATCCATGCCAATCCTCCTCTTTGCTGAGAGAGACCAGCCCTGAGCTAACATCTATTGCCAATCCTCCTCCTTTTTTTCCCCAAAGCCCCAGTAGATAGTTGTATGTCATAGTTGCACATCCTTCTAGTTGCTGTATGTGGGACGCAGCCTCAGCATGGCCGGACAAGCCATGCATTGGTGCGCGCCCGGAATCCGAACCCCGGGCCGCCAGTAGTGCAGCGCGCGCACTTAACCGCTAAGCCACAGGGCCAGCCCCTGTATTGTATACTAGTTGATCATTTGAAAGGATGTCACTTTTGCCTCACCAAACGTTTTTGTCATTGAAAAAAAATTTTAATTCTCATTCAAACAACGTGGACAAACTCTAAAAATGTATTTGATGTTTTATGAACCACAGTTGTCTGTTCCACTGCACCCTCCCCGGAAAAACCACTCCCAGCTCTTTTCGGCTCCTCTGCGCAAACTGCTTCTCTTGCTGTTCCGTAATTCTTGCGTTTTAGATCCCTGTCAACTTCCTGGCCTGGAAAACGAAGGCGGCTCTCTTGGTTGCCCTGCTCGCCTGCCTGCTCCTCCCAGCTCCTCCCATGAAGCCCCACCCATGCGGTCTTGTTCCGCCCATCACACCCAGCCTGTGGGCCCTGCAGGAAGTTCCTCTCCTTGGACTTTGTTCTCCCCAGTGCACAGTCACCTCCTTCTTGGTTGCTTAGTCTTCTGCGCATTTCTTGCACTGACACGCTGACCCAGCGCTCCCTTGAGCCCCGTCCTCTTGTCCTGTCTGACCTCCCGCTCGCGGGGCCACTCCCCTCGGGTCCTTGCCCCTCGCTCGCCCTGGGGTCCTTTCTTTCCTCTTGGTTTGGGGGGCAGATCCTTCGTCAGCTTCCCGAGAGGGTGCAAGAGAGTTTTAGCCCTTACAAATCTAGAATTGTCTTCATTCTACACTACCGTTATCTTTTGGTGGTGCTTTCCAGGAGACTTCCTCAACTTTATTTTCCAAACCTTCCATGAATTTTAAATTTCTGTCATCATGTTTTTTATTTCAAGAGCTCTTTTTTCTCCTCTGAATTTTTTTTTTTTTTAAATAATGTCTTGTTCTTTTTTCATGGATGAAGTAAGACGAGGTTTTGTTTTGCTCCCCATGTCATCTCTGGCTCCTGTGAGTTTCTCTTCCCTGTTTACTTTGGCTTGCGTCTTTCAGATCCGGGCCTTTCCTGTTCCCGACAGCCCATTTATTTGAGAGTGAAGTCACATCAGACCCGGCTGCACAACCAGTGCAGATCAGCACAGACATATCATAAGACCAGAATGTGGGACCAGAGAGGCCAGAGGCAGAGAGAACGCTTATAGGAGGCTTGGCACAAGCGAGTGTAACGTGATGTAGAGGCCAGGGGGTCACTGTTTTAGGCTCTGTGGGTCTCTGCTGCAGCTGCTCAGCTCGGCCATCCTAGTGTAAATGAGCATGCGTGGCTGTGTTCCAGTAAAGCTTTATCTACTAAAACAGGTGCTGGGTGGGATTTGGCCCTTGGACTGTATGTAGTTTGCCCCTCTGTGACAGAGGCAGATGAGTGTTACATGTCAGTGTCTAGGTCTTTTCTCTAGGGCAGAGTCCCAGAGAAGAATCTGCCAATATCCTGCTGTGGTGAGATTGCCGTGGAGTCGGAGAAGGAGTCTGGGGGTGCTCTCATCCAGGTGCACGCTGTCCTCTGGCCCAGGTGTAAGATGGCACTCGGCTCATGGCTGTGCCTGACGTCCTGGTGCTCAGACCTGTCTGCTTCACCTTCTCCAGAAGAACACCGGTGGCCAACTGCAGGGGAGGGAAGGGGGTGTGGGCCCACTAGCCTGCGAGGATCAGTTTTCACCTTCTTGGCTCTATACCCTAAAGAGAACGTTTCAACTTTTGTTGGACAGCCTGTTAGCTCCATTAGCTGCCACTCTGTCACTTACTTTTCATCAGCTTCCAAAATGTTGTTGACGTGTCTCATCTGCTCTTAGCTTTTTTCTTCATCCTTGGAGGTTTGTATCTTTTTTTTTTTTTGGGTTGCCCTGTTTTGTTTTGTTTTTTCCTTTTAATTATTTATTTATTTATTTTTGTGAGGAAGATCAGCCCTGAGCTAACATCTGCCAATCCTTCTCTTTTTGCTGAGGAAGACTGGCCCTGGACTAACATCTGTGCCCATCTTCCTCCACTTTATATAGGACATCACCACAGCATGGCCTGAGAAGCAGTGCCTCAGTGCATGCCTGGGATCCGAACCTGGGCCGCCAGCAGCGGAGTGCGCGCGCTTAACCTCTATGCCACGGGGCCAGCCCTGTATCTTTTTTTTTGTGTGTGTGTGAGGAGATCAGCCCTGAGCTAACATCTGCCAATCCTCCTCTTTTTTTGCTGAGGAAGACTGGCCCTGAGCTAACATCCGTGCCCATCTTCCTCCACTTTATATGGGACGTCACCACAGCATGGCTTGCCAAGCAGTGCGTCGGTGTGAACCCGGGATCCGAACCAGCGACCCCCGGGCCGCCACAGCGGAGCGCGCACACTTAACCGCTTGCGCCACTGGGCTGGCCCCTGTATCTTTTTAATAGAGCAGAGATGAGCACGTGTGCCAGGAGGGAAAGGAGATAAACCTTTACCTTCTGACTACCGTTTTTAGTGGGCAGTAGGCTGTATGATTTTTTTTCCAATTGAAGTAACAATATATTCTTTTGACACTGAGATAATTTTGATTCTTCTTTTATTTACTTTTCTTTCCAGTTTTATTGAGAAATAATTGACACATATCACTGTATAAATTTAAGGTATGCAGCATGATGGTCTGATTAACATATATTGTGAAATGATTACCACAATAGGTTTGGTTAACATCCATCATCTCACACAGATAGAATAAAAAGAAAAGAAATTTCTCCTTGTGATGAGAACTCAGATCTACTCTCAGCACGTTCCTATACGTCGTCCAGCAGTGTTGGCTGTGGTCTGCGTGCTGTGCATCACATCCTCAGCACTTATGTGTCTTATAACCCGAAGTCTGTGCTTTGACCACCTTCCTCCAACTCCACCTCCCCCTATTATTTTAATTTTTATAAATTTGTTATGAAATACTTGAGCTATACCAAAAAGCACACCATAGTAGGCAGACCTGTCAGCTGTCACCCAGGTTATGAGCTAGCTGTCACTCTGGTTAGCTGTAAGCTGTCAGTGTCGTGCAGTCACCCACCCACCTTTCACCCTCTCCTTTCCCCAGGGGCGGCTGCTCCCCCTGTGTGGTGTGATTGTGCAGGACTCACTGAGGAGTGCATCACACAGTACACAGTCCTCCTGCAGCGTCCTTGGTGTGTGCAGGAGTGTAAGAGCCCTCCACGTGGACAGGTTTTCTCATCCAGCCATCTACACTGTTGATCTCTCTGTTGCTGGTTGACATTTAGGTTGTTTACAGTTGTTTTCTGTTGTGCCCTGTGCTGCTGAGGACATTTGTAAACACGTGCTAGTGTGAGGCTTTCTTGGGGGCGGTACCTGGGCTTTGTTCACACCCCAGCAGCACAGCCTCTGCCTGTGGTTTTCATAGTTTCTTGATTTTAGATGAGGATGAGAGCATTGTTTTTCTGACAAGTCAATTTGAAAATAAAATGCCCACAAGCCATTTTGGCAACAGCCGCTAAGTTGTCATTCTTTTTCCCACCCTCCCTCCAAACACACACACACACACACACACACACACACACACACACAGTTCTCTGATTCTGGAACAGAGATGAGAGTTGCCGTCTGATGGGGTTTGTGGAGACATCCCTCCCGGTTCTCCTAGGGTCTCCAAGCTGCTTGACTCACTGGTGAGTGGGAGATGCACTGGCTTCATGGGTCCTGTAGAGACAGCCGGGAAATAGGGTGAGGCCGTGTCCGAGATACACCATCCACACCCTGTGAGCCCAAAGAAGAGGGGGTCCACTCTCCACAGAGCAACCAAGTGGTGCATAAATGGTGAGGGGGCATGCTGGGACCTCTGGCCTGGGAATCTGGAGCTGGCCTGTAATTCCCGTCCTTAGACACCTGCAGGCAACTGCCCAGTGCTGTTCTGTGCTCATGTTTCTTGTGGTGTGGTTGTGAGTCTCTTAGGGGACAACTTTCTCTTTATAAAGGATTTGAAAGAGCAGAAAGGATTCCAAGCAGAAGAAATAGAACTGAGTCCTAGAGCTCACTTAGCACGTCTTGAGAACCATAGGCCTAGTGTTGTTCCTGATGTGCAGGGCTGTGCAGCAGGAGGGGCGTTTGCCAGGTTTGCTTTAGGGTACAGTGATGTCAGGAGATTGGGTTCACCTTGCTTACATTCTTGTTTGTGTGTCCGAGCATCTGAAAGTAAAACAGAGTTCTCTCTAACAGCAGCTGCAATAAGTCTTGTCACACAGGGGAGCTGCTGTCTGTGGTGATTTATTAGGCTTCTTCATTCTGGCTCTCAAAGAAGAAGGAAATTGAGATTTTATCTTCAGTAAAACTAAAATAGGGTTCCACTTGTGCTGTGGCAGGGTGATGCCCCTACCACCTCTCTCTTCTGCTGATTACAACTAAAAACTCTGGAGAAAATGCAAAAAGCAATTACTGAAGACTCTGAAAATAAAAGCAGGCACATTGTGGGTGGGAATCAAAGCCGGAGAAGCAGCCCACGTCGGGGGAGCTCCTGGGTTTCCTCTGTTGTCTCCCTGCTCTGAGTGGCAGCCCAGTCAGGAAGCCAGAGCTCCAGTAGGAACCCCTCTTTCAGAGGGTGAGTGAGTGGATCCCAGAAGAAGGCATCTGGAGAAGTGGATCTGCTAAGTCTGTGAACCTCTGCAAGCCTCAGGGAAGACCCAGCAGTGCAGCACAGACCATGAGAGCTGAATGAAGAGTCAGCCTCAGCCCAGATCTCGGACTAACCCCCGAGTGGCACCTGTGCAGGACAGAGAAAGCATCAGGGGCTGCACTTTGGAACCCACTGCCCACAGGTGGTAGGACAGAACTTGTGTCTGAATCTAACCTGATAACCTGCTAAAAAAATCAACATTCTCCAGAAAATTGTAACCTAAACCTAACTGTATCAATAATAACATTGACTACACCAATTAAATGACAGAGATCGACAGACTGGATGGAAATACCAAGATCCAACTATATGCTGACTCCGTGAAACTTTAAATGTAAAGACTTAGATAAAAGATAAAGGGATGGGAAAAGCTATCCCATGAAAACTCGAATTAACAGAAAACTGAAGGGCTGTATTAATATCAGACAGAGCAGACGTCAAACCAAGGAATGTCACCAGGGATAAACAAGGGACATCACTCACCAAGAAGAGGGAACCGTCCCACGTGTGTGTGCACCTCACAACAGAGTTTCAAATACGTAATCTCGGAAGTGGAACAGAAACTGACAGAACTGAGAGGAGAAATAGATCCACAGTTATAGTTGGTGACTTTAACTTTTCTCTCAGTAATCGATAGACGAGGTAGATAGAAAGTCTGCAAAGATATAGGAAATCTGAACAACACTATCAACCACCTTAATTAATTAATTAATTTATTTATTGAACAGTATTGAGCACTGGACTCAACAACAGCAAAAGACATTCTTTTCAAGTGCACATTCAGTATGTCTTGTGAATAGTGTATTCGGGGCCACAAAACAAACGTTAATAAATTTCAAGGAACTGAAATCATACAGAGTATGTCCTCTGATTATAATGATATTAAACTAGAAATCAATAACAGGAGGAAATATAAGAAATCCCCTAAATATTTGGAAATTAAAGAATACATTTCTAAATAAAACGTCAGTCAAAGAGAAGTTACAAGGAAATCAAAATATTTCAAACTAAATGAAAAGGAAAATTTAACATATCAAGATTTTTCAAGTGCAGCTAAAGTAGTGCATAGAGGAAAATTTATAACCTAAAATGCTTTAGAAAAGAAAAAATGTCTCCAATCAATGATCTAAGCTATTATCTTAAGAAACTAGGAAGAGCAAATGAAAATGCAAAGCAAGCAGAAGGAAGACAGGAATAAAGATAAAAGCAGAAATCAGTGAGATTGAAAGTAGAGAAACAACAGTGAGAATCAATGAGAGCAGAAGCTGGCTCTCAGAAAACATCAGTAACACAGAGAAACCTCTTGCCAGACCAGTGAAGAAAAAAGGGAGGAGACAAGCTACCAACATCAGAAGTGAAGGAAGGGACATGTCTACAGGCTCTACAGGCGTAAAAAGATGAATGAGGGACTATTATGAACAGCTTTATGCCCCTAAAATCAACAACTTAGATGAAATCAACATAGTCCTGGAAAGAGGCCACTGCCAGAGGGCCTCAGGAAGACTTGGATCATCTGAACAGCCGTGTCTTTCAGAGAGATCCAATTCGTAGTTGAAATCCATCCCAGAAGGAAAACTCTAGGTATAAATGGCTTCACTGTGGCATTCTACTCAACATTTAAAGAAGGAATCATGCTAATTTTACACAAACTCTTCCAGAAAAGTGCGGTGGAGGAAATACTTCCCAATTCAGTTTTGAGACAGTATTACTCAGGTACCAAACCAGACAAAGGTATTCCCAGAAAAGAAGATTGCCAACCAATATCTCTCATGAACAGAAACACAAAATCCTCAATGTTAGATATCTTCTAATATCCTTACATATTAGATACCCACAATATCCTCAAATATTAGAAATTTGAGTCCAGCAATATATAAAAGAAGGATAATATCTAATGATGTTATAGAGTTTATTCCAGGAATGCAGGCTGTTAAATGACATTTGAAAATCAGTCGATGTGATTCACCATATCAACAGAGTAAAGAAGAGAAACCATATGCATCTCAATAGATGCAGAAAAAGCTTTTGACAGAATTCAGCATCCATTCATGATAAGCATTCTCAGAAAACTAGGAAAAGAAGAGAATTTCCTAAATCCAGTAAAGGACATCTATAAAAACACTAACAGCTAACATCATACCTGATTAGGGAAGAGACTGAATGCTTTCCCTTGAAGATGGGAATTAAGCCCAGAATGTCCATTCTCACCGCTCCTGCTTAACATCATGCTGGAAGTCCTCACCGGGGTAGTGAGGGAAGAGAAAGAAATAAGCACACATGTTGGAAAAGAAAAAAATGAAACAGTCTCTATTTGCAAACAACCTGATTATCGATGTAGAAAATCCTGTAGAATCAACAAGAAAGCTGTTAGAACTTATGAGTGAGCATAACAAGGGTACAGGATCTATACGGAATAAAACCAATTGTATTTCTATATGTTAGCAATTAAAAATTGGAAATAGAGATTTTAAAAAATGGCAGTACTTATAATAGCACCAAAACCCACACATTACTTAAGTATTAACAGAATATGTACGGGATATGTATGCTGAAAACTACACATCACTGATGAAGGAAATCAAAGAAGGCTTACGTGAATTGGAGGAATATGCTGTTTTCATGGAGTGCAAGACTCAGTACTGTTAAGAAGGCAAATTTCCCCAAATTATTCAACGTAATTCCAATAAAAATCCCAGCAGAGTTTTTTTTTTTTCTAGAAATAGACAAATTGAGTATAAAATTATATGGAAAGGCAAAGGAACTAGAAATAGCTAGAAGAATTTGAAAATGAAAACAAAGCCGAAGGACTCACACTACTTTATTTCAGGACAGCGTGATGGTAGACACACACAGCAGTGGGGCCGAGCAGACAGCCCAGAAGTAGGTGCACGTGCAGAGTGAGCTGGTCTCTGACCAAGGCGCAGAGGCGGCCTGCTGGGGAAAGGACAGTCTTCTCAACAAGTGGTGCCAGAGCGGTGGATGTGATGTGCACACATGTGTCACCTCACCGTGACTCCAAATGGGTCGTACACCTACATGTGGAACCTGAAAGTACAGAATTTTCTGAACACTTTTGTCACCTTGTGATTTGCAAAGATTTCTTAGACATGACACAAAAAGCATGATCCATGAAAGAAAAAAATTGGTAAATTAGACTTCACCAAAATTAAAAAGTCTGGTCTGTGAAAGACACTGTTAAAAGGGTGAAAAGTCAACCAACTGACTGGTAGAAAATATTTGCAAAACATATATCTGGTAAAGGAATTGCATCCAGAGTATACAAAGATCTGTCCAACTCAACATTAAGAAAACAAGCAACTCACTGAAAAATAGACAAAAGGTCTTAACAGACACTTCACCATAGATAATATGCAGATGTCAGAGAAGTGCCTGAAAAGGCCCTCGTCATCAGTAGTCATTTGGGAAATGAGAGTTAAAACCATGGTGAGACACTGCACACCTCTTGGAATGATGGATTAGGCTGATGGAATCGAAGCCGTGAGACTGAACTCAGTCTGCAGCCTCTCTCCTCCCTGAGGTCAGGAACACCCCAGCCCTCTAATCCTGTGGCCAGTCTTCCTGGTGTGGCCAGCCCCACCTTGAGTAACCAAGCTACTGCTAACACTTAGAGACTTCCAAGGGTTGAGAAGCTTTTCCGAGGAACCGGGGACCAAGACTGGCCAAATTCTTCATCCTACAACCCTGACAGTGCAGGTGTGGTGTGCGTGTGGATCACCTGAAACTCTCATTCATTGCTGGTGGAGTGCAGAGTGGTGCAGCCACTGTGAAACAGCTTGGTAGTTTCTTTTTTTTTTTTTTTGCTGGGAAAGATTTGCCCTGAGCTAACATCTGTTGCCAATCTTCCTCTCTTTGTTTTTTTCTCCCCAAAGCCCCAGTACATAGTTGTATATTCTAGTTGTAAGTCCTTCTAGTTCTTCTATGTGAGCCACTGCAGCAGCTTGGCTACTGACATACGGGTGGTGAACCCGGGCTGCCAAAGCAGAACACCGCAAAATTTAACCACTAGAGTCAGGGCTGGCTCTTGGTAGTTTCTTAAAAGTTATAGATGCATATACTGTATGACCCAGAAGTCCCACTCCTAGATATTTAGCAAGAGAAATGAAAACTTTGTTCACACAAAACCCTATATGTGAATATTTTTAGCAGCTTTATTTATAATTGCCAAAAACTGGAAACAACCGGAATGTCCTTCAACTGCTAGATAGATAAACTGATGCCTCCATAAAACAGACTATTTCTCAGCAGCCAAGAGCACAAAGTACTGGTACAGGAGCAGCGTGATGAATCTCAAGTGTGTCATCTCAGTGAAAGGAGCTCAGCCATGGGGGTGGTTTGCTGGGATGATCCTAGCTCCCCATGGGAGGGCCATGTGGACTGGTGTCTCATGTACCCTTTTGGAGAGCGGGGTCCTGAGAGGGGTGACGGTTGAGTCCAGGGCACGGACTTGGAGAGCCGGTTCCGAACTCTCAGGACAGGTGAGAGCAGGCTAACCAAAGCTGTCGTTACAGGGCCACACCGCACCATACAAAACAGTGTCTGCCCGCGCCGCTGTCCCGTCCACCATCCTCCGGCTTCCTGCTGCGGCTTTTCAGGGAGTGTTTGAGAAATATCCTGAAACCCTGGTGAGAGTGGTACAGGTGGGTTGCTCACCAGTTGACCTCTCTGCCCTGGGCCATCTCAGTGCAGGTCCCGGATCCTCAGTTTACTGTGTGGCTTCTGAATCTTACAGCCGTGAAGACGCATCCCCAACAGTGGGATCAACTTCATGGCAGACTGACTGCTGGCATGGTGGGGTTCTGGGTGGGTGTAAGAAGGACTAAGATAGTTTTTAAAAAATTTTGTAATACTTATTTTACAATAAAAATTAATATTCATAACCTCAAAGAGGTCTTCAGGTCTCCCACTACCCCCAAAAGAGTTCTTTTTTTAATTATTAAACTTCTTGCTTTGAAGTAGTTTTAGATTTACAGAAAACTTGCAAAAACAATGCAAAGAGTTCCCTTATGCCTCTAATGCTAACATCCTGGGTGACTGTGGTGAATTGTCAGAATGCCCCGAGGTGGCTCAGAGTGTCTGGGGGAGGTGGCAAGCCTGGCACAGCTGGCCTGTCTCTCTCACAGATCATCATGGTGCGGCTGCAGAGGGTCACCTTTCTAGCTCTGCACAACTACCTGGGCCTCACCACAGAGCTCTTCAACCCTGTAAGTGTGGCCTTGGCCTCCTAATCTCTGGTCATTAGGACCCTGGACTTTGGGAGGTGACGATGGGCCAAGTTTACTTGTCCAGGCCTCAAATCTCCTGGGGTCTTGTGCTGAGAACCTGTCCCATCAGTTAAGTGTGAGAGAAGATGGGATTCTTTCTTAGATGCCAGAGTGCGTACCTCCTGGAGACTTGTTGTGCCTCTGCCGTTCCCTTCCCAGGAGAGTCTGGAGCTTGGGCTGGATTGGCTCATTGGAGCACTCCGCTCCATAAGCACGCCTGCCCTTTTCCAGCTCCTCCCTGGCACACACTGAGTGATGGCCCGTCCAGCGGGGCTGTCACCTCCTGTCCCCTCCCGCCCCATAGAGTTCTTTTTTTTTTTTCCCCCCAAAGCCCCGGTAGATAGTTGTATGTCATAGTTGCACATCCTTCTAGTTGCTGTATGTGGGACGCGGCCTCAGCATGGCAGGGGAAGCGGTGCATCGGTGCGCGCCCGGGATCCGAACCCGGGCCACCAGTAGTGGAGCGTGCGCACTTAACCGCTAAGCCACGGGGCCGGCCCCAACCCCTAGTTTTGATGATGTTTTAGGTTTTGCCGTCTTCCCTAGTTTTGATGATGTTTTAGGTTTTGCC